AGGTCACAATGTCGGTTCTGCAGGATCTGGGGTTTTCCATTAATAGGAAAAAGAGCCATTTCACTCCTTCTACCCATCTCCTTCATTTGGGGGCCATTATTGACACAAGAGTGTGTCAGGTTTTCCCTTCACAGGAGCGGCTGGACAGCCTGCAGGAGATGATTAGGGGCATTTGGAGTCAACATTCTACCTCTCTGGACCATTTATCTCAACTTTTGGGTAAAATGGTTTACTTTTTTGGTCTTGTTCCCTTGGCCAGGCTTCATGCCAGGTCCCTGCAGTGGTTCTTGTTACCTCATCATAGGTCTGGGTCGAGTCTTTACCTTAGGAAGGTGAAGTTAACTAAGCAGATTTCACTTTTCTTCCACTGGTGGCTATCTAGAGCTATGTCCAAAGGCCATTCCTTTAAAGTGGAACCTTGCCTCGTCCTCACAACGGATGCTTCCTTGGCAGGTTGGGGGGTTCACTTAGATTCCCTTTGGGCCCAGGGCTTATGGTCTGTGGAGAACAGGCCCATAGCATCAATTGGTTAGAACTCAGAGCAGTCCGTTTGGCCCTGAGGCAGTTCCTACATCAAGTATCTGGTTCGCATGTCCTGGTTATGACAATGTTGCCACCAAAGCCCATATCAACAGACAGGGGGCACCAGGTCCTTATCGCTTATGACAGAAGCAGAAGCCCTGGGTAGATGGGCGGAGCGTCACTTTCTTTCTATCCGAGCTGATCACATCTCAGGGTTGGATAAAGTTCAGGCGGACTGACTGAGCAGGACCTCAGTTGATCATTCAGAATGGAGTTTACATCCCTCTCTCTTTCGTCAAATTATGCACAGATTTGGACTGCCAGGGGTGGATTTGTTTGCCACCCCCTTAATGCCCAGGTTTTTCTCTAGATATTTTACCCAAGGGGTGGAAGGGACCAACGCTTTGCATTGTAGCTGGCCTCCCAGCTTGCTGTACGCTTTTCCTCCATTGCCTTTGCTCTCAGCCGTAGTTCGCAAAATCTTATTGGAGAAAGCTGAGGTGATATTAGTGGCTCCCTATTGGCTTCGTAGGCTGATTTGATGGGTCTCTCAGTTACCCCCCCCCCTCGGGGGATCCTTGGGGGGGTGGCTCTCTTCTTCAGGGGTCCTTGATTCACCTGGAGCCCCAGTGGCTACATCTGGAAGTTTGGTGATTGAGTGGGGCATCTTAAAAAGCGCCCACCTCTCCAACAAGGTGATTAAGACTATTCAGGCCTTCAGCCTTAACCATCCGTATTTATGAGGCTACATGGCAATCCTTTTCTACTTGGTGTGCCAAGGCTAACATTTCTCCTCTGCAAGCCTTGGTGGCTACTGTTTTGGAATTCCTACAGGCCAGCCTGGACAAAGGTCTTTTCCCCAACACACTTCACAGGCAGGTGATGGTTAGCTCTTCGGTGCTGACTTGTGGGAAGTTAGAATCTTTGTCTCAGCATCCTACTGTCCATAGGTTCCTCAGAGGAGCGACCAACCTTTGCTCTCCTATGGTACATAGGTACCCTACTTGGGATTTGACCAACGCCCTGCAGTCCCTTACCAGGCCTCCATTTGAACCACTCAGACAGTCCAGCCTGCATCTTCTTACTCTGAAAGTTGCATTCTTGGTGGCAGTTACTTCAGCAAGGAAAGTTTCTGAGTTGGTCGCCCTCTTGGTTCGACCTGATCTCGGTCTCTTCCATCCCCACCGGGTGGTCTTGCGTTTGGACCTGGCCTTTATTCCTAAGGTCAACACCTCCTTCCACAGAGCTCAGGAACTGGTTCTCCCGGATTTTTGTCCTGGTCCATGAGTTGGAGAAGGCTTGGCACACCTTGGATTTGCACAGAGCCTTAAACATTTACCTCAAACTGCTGAATTCTGCAGGACGGAATCTCTTTTTTGTTCCTTCCAACCTTCCACATTGGAAGGAAAGGTGACTCCATCCATAGTAAGTAGATGGATCAAGGCATGTATAGCTCAAGCCTATTCCAGTCGGTCCCTTCTGCTACCCAAGGGCATCACGGCACATTCCACTTGCAGTGCGGCGACTACGACAGCTTTGGCAACGCAAGTGTCAATGGAGGAGGTCTTCAGAGCAGCCACGTGGACGTCCCCTTCGCCTTTCATCTGCCACTACTGGCTGGACTCCTTCGCTTCGGCAGATGTGGCATTTGGAAGACGGGTCCTGCAACAAGTTGTTTCGGACTGAGAAGGCCAGGACCAATCTTAACCCTCCTGAGGACAACCCTGCTTTGGTATGTCCCGTCCTGACCTGTTGCAGCCTTACAAGGGAAAATGGACATTGTTTACCTGAATGCCAGTTTTCCTTGTTAGGCAAGACAGGTCAGCCCCACCCTTTGGTGAATGGTCTGGCCAACTGACCTATGAGAAGGGGGATTCTGATAATGTTCTTGTTCCTTTTATTCCCTTTTTCTTAGAGGTAATTCAGTCTGTCACAAGGTCTTCGCAGAACTGAGTAACCCAGAATGGGCCGAGCTAGGTTAATAAGCCTTTTACACAGACTCAGTCCTTAGCTGAAGAGGAGTAACATCCATCCTGACCTGTCTTGCTTAACAAGGAAAACTGGCATTCAGATAAACAACGCCCACTCTATTCTTATGTGTATAAATAGAAGATGTTAAAAATTAATTATTAAAATAAAAACATACTTCATAAAACATGGTGAGTTTATTAAAGTTTGAAGAATAAATCTAAGATTAAAAAGAAAAGTATCTAATATTGAACTGATACGTTTGCATCCAGGATTTTCTAATAGTGTTCACTTATTAGTGAAATTTTGATGCTGGAATTTGACTAGCTTTCAATTGATTATATATTTCATCAATTTAATAAGATCTTAAGATCACCTTTTTGTCATTTTTTTCTGTGGGAACTCTGGCACACGCCTAATTATATATTTACTATTTGCATCTTAAGGTTAACAATTTTCTGAAACATTTTTATTTTTATTGGAATTTATTTTGATATTACAAAAGTTAATGTGTTGAAAATACAGTCTGGTTGTCAACTATAGAGGCATTTGCATATCCAATTGTTTATAAAATGGAACATACAGTTAGATATGGTGAAATATTAAATGAAAAGGGTGAACTCAAATCTAAGCAAGAACTAGAGGAACAAGAAATAGATGAATTGATATTCATATGTGCAAATACATTCTAGATATGATAAAGATTGTAGGACAGAAGGATTTTACAATGAATTCACTGAATTAGATGGAATTTTGACAGGTACTGATGAGGTGATTAAAAAATTATATGGACATTTACTTGGAGTTAAATTAGAAGAAGAACAAGTTAAACAATGATTGCATGGGGGGAAATTTAGGATATGGGATAGACTTAGAGAAATGGCAGAAATTATGGTCTCGAAACTATAAAATAACAATGTCAACAGCATATAAAGAGAATTTGTATAAGATGTTTTACATGTGGCATTTACCCCCGGCAAGAATAGCAAGGATGTTCAAGAATAAATCGGAGAAATGTTGGAAGTATCACCAGATACCTGAATCACATTATCATATGTGATGCCAAGAGATACTGGACTAAAATTCATACATGGCTAGAAAAAATGACAAAACAGCATATAGGCTTGAAACCAGAGATATTTTTATTGGGTATCTTACCTGAAGGATACAGTAGAGAATTGACATATCTGATTATAAATGTTCTAACAGCAGTTAGAATGGTAATAGAATTGCACCTAACCGACTGCTGTTTTATCTGTACATAAAAGAACACTTGTCAATAGTTCTGTCCATGGATTTAAAGCTTGTCTCTCTGTAATAGCCTCTCTCGTCTAGGAATGTAAAAGTGCTCCTGCAAAAATATAAAAAAAAAATCATCTGGATTTAAAAAAAAAGAATTGTATTTGCCAAAAACTGGAAAAGTGAAAAAATTCCGATAGAAGAGGAGGTGATTAAGAAAATAATGGAATGTGCAGAAATGAGTAAATTGACATTAGCAATTAGAGAGTAAGAAGATAAAGAATATTATAAAATTTGGGATTTATTTTATCAATGGCTAGATAAGCAAATAGGGAAATAAAATATACTATGATATAAATACAACATAATAGTAAAGATAAGACAATGTAATGATATAACTGATTACAGTGAAATGAATGATGTTATGAACTAGGTTTTGTAAAAGTTGAGATTTGCTTGTAAAGGATGACGTGAATTTATAATTAAAGTCTAATAAGGAGTTAACAATAATGTAATATAATATGCATAGTTGATCTATATAATATGAATTTTAATTTAAATTTAGATGGGAAAGACTGTTGATATCATGCACAAAAGATATGTACCAACCAACACACTGTACAATGTAAATATGGTTTTATTTGATGTTTTATGTTTGTATTTGTCAATGTTTGTTGTCAAAATAAATAAAAAACTTTTTAAAAAAAGTTCATGTGTTTTACAGTGGTACGTTAATGTTTTTTTAGCCTGGCTATTAGTATTGTAGTTGATTTTATTTTTTGGTTCTTTGTTTATTTCCTTTGCAGCAAAGCATTTATGTTAGCAGCAAGAAATATTGTTAGGAAGAGACTATAAAGAAAATAGTAATGAAAGCTACTGAGGAATAATATGAGAAAATATTAAAATTTGTTGTAAGATGGAAACTTAAGTGGGCTACATTCTCAACTAAACGTGTTTATTAAAAGAAAACAATCTAAAATTAGATGCTTTTTCAAATAAAAGTATCAGCAGATAAGGTAGGAAGTTATATTTTTATAGTACATTTAGAATTAAAACTACAAAAAAGTTATTTAAAAACTTGATTTAATAACAATTAGGAAATATATCCTTGTCATTCTCTTGGTTGTCATAACTACTTTTTCTAAAATTGTGATTAAGTTACTTTAATGACTAACTTTAACAAAGAATCTTTGTTTCAAATGTTATATAGAATGTTTACATTTAGTATTATTTCCATGGAAACAATTATTTCTTGTATTTTTTTGCATCAGATATGATTTTCCAAGGCCTCAGCTTTCTGAAAGAATGCATTTGGCGGTGGTAGCCTGTGGTGAAAGATTGGAGGAAACTGTTACTATGTTGAAATCAGCTATTATTTTCAGCATCAGAAGTCTTCAGTTTCATATTTTTGCTGAGGAATCATTACAGAGTGACTTCAGAGAAATAGTAAGTATTCATAAAAGAATGCATGCTTGGATTAAGGTAAATTTGTATTTTTCCACCAAACTTAAGTATGCTTGACTTCACTATCTAAATCTGCCAATCTGTGATCTATATTCTGTGAATATTTTTTTAACTTTGTCACTGGAAAACAGTGTACTTCCAAGAGCAAAAAGTATGTAATTTGGGTATATTGTGACTTCATTGTGGATGTGTGGAATCCCTGCTGTCTTCTCAGTCATAAATGGAGCTACACTACAGTATTTAGCAATTGCACAGTAGTCTCCAATTCTTTTAACTCTAAAGTTGAAAAGAAAATGAGTAATTAGCAATTGTTGAGGCTATCCAGTAGAGGTGGCCTGACTTATAACAGTTCATTTACTGACCATTCAAAGTTATGGGGGCAGGATGTCAGATCCTTATCATGCAGGAACCGTGGAAGCTACGGAGGCCTGAGAAGTGGCTGAAAATATACAATTATTTATTAAATTTTGACTTAGAAGAGGAGATAGTAAAAGGGCCAATGTTAGCTTGGGCCAAAAAATTTGGACATGATACTGAGTTAGAAGATTAGGAAAAAATGTGGGGAAAAAATTATACTTTAACAAAATCTGCCACATACAAAGAAAACCAATACACGATGTTTTACCGTTGGTATTTAGCCCCAACCAGGCTTGCAAAGATGTATCCCAACCTAAACCCTAACTGTTGGAAATGCAAATAAACACAAAGTACTTTTTTCCATGTCTGGTGGCTATGCCCAGAAATTAAAAAAATATTGGATTAAAATACAAAAATGGCTAATTGAAATCACTCACTGTTGAATAGAACTGAAGCCTGAATTGTTTCTCCTGGGGATCATTAAGGGTAAATACCCCCAAAACATTAATTAAGTATAGTATATAAAATCATACATTGCAATGTCCTACCTGTCAATGAATACTTCAGCTTCAACCATAACAATACAAGAGCACACAATAGATACAAACTCAAAGTTAATCACACCAAACTTGATTGCAGGAAATACGACTTCAGCAACAGAGTGGTCAATGTCTGAAATACTCTACCCGAATCTGTGGTTTCTTCCCCAAACCCCAAAAACTTTAACCTTAGACTTTCTACTATTGACCTCACCCCTTTCCTAAGAGGTCTGTAGGGTGCGTGCATAAGCGCACCAACGTGCCTACCGTCCCTGTCCTATTGTTTCTTTTATTTTTCTTATATGTATCCATGTATTCATAACTATGTTTTTACTTATACCTATTATCTTGTAAGCAATTGACAAACCAAATAAAATAAAATAAATAAAATATTTGATTATACATATTATTATGGCAGCAAGAATTACACTAGCACAAGCTTGGAAAATGTCTAACATACGTCAGATTGTTTAATAATCCATCAAAAATTTTAATGCGCAGAAATGGATAGACTCGCCAAAGAACTGAATAACAAGGAAGACTCTGAATTTTTATGCAACCTGGAACAATTGGTATCAATGGATAGACAGTAGAAATAGGAAAATTATAGATTAAAAATAAATTCAAAAAAATTTGTATATGTGTATGATTAATGAGAACCTGTTGAAATGTATGATTATTTGGAATGTATGAATATAGCCAAGTATTTTTTTTGTACTGTCAAAGAATGATGGTGAAATGTACCAACTCATTTTTCTTTCTATAGACAAATTTGTATTTTAATATTTTAACTTCAATAAAGGGTTTTTTTTAATTAAAAAAGGTTAATCTTACTTATATACTTTTGATACAAAAATACTAAAACATGCTGTTTTTTTCAGCTTGATAATTTGGCACATAATGAAAATTTTAATTATACTCTGTACCCTATCTCATTTCCAACTGAGAACGCAGCAGAATGGAAGAAATTGTTCAAGCCCTGTGCTTCTCAAAGACTTTTTCTACCAGTAAGTAGCAATGGTAGTTGTTAAAAAATTAATAATTCTAGTCATAAGTGAAACATAAGTGTTATTTTATATTTAAATAAGTGCTTTGAGTTATTTTTCAGAATGAGATGGGCAGCATATAAATGTAATAAGTAAATATGCTTCCAGAGAAATGTGAGTTATTTGGTAAGCTATTGCTGTTTGAATGAACATAAAATGTAGCCTCTTCAGTTATTTATTTGGCATATTATGACAATGTAATAATGTGGAGGACTAGCTCTGCCCTTTCAAAAGTAAGGTAAGTACTACCAAGTTGAAGCATAATCAAGTTGAATATGAAGAGGTAAGTCATTACTTGTAGGTTGAGATTCCTGTTTCAGTATTCCTGTTACTCCACACTAAAGATGATTGTGCTTTGGCTTGGAAGTATTACTGGAATTCTGATTAGTAGGGTTGTACCTCCTTAACAGTTTCCTCTCTAATAAATTGATGAAAAAGTTAACGATTCTAATAAGCCAAGAAAAAACAGCTTTTACTCAAACAATCTTGCCCATTTTTGTCTGTTTCCTTCCAAGTGTTAGGAGAGTGCTACCATAACTTCCCCACGTTTTTCTCTGTTTGATGCTAAATATTGTGAGTTTCTTTCATTTTACACTGACTTTCTAATTGCTATCCAAAATAATATGGGATCTCTATCAGATATTTTACTAATAACAACTGCATTGCCACATTCTAAGGAAGTTATAAGTAGTCCTTAACTTGTGACCACAATTGAACCCAAAATTTCTGTTACTAATTGTTAGGTGAATTTTGCCCCATTTTATGACTTTTCTTGCCACCGTTGTTTAAGTGAATCTGGCTTTCCCACTGACTTTGTTTGTCAGAAGGTAACAAAAGGTGACCACATGACCCCGAGACAGAGCAACTGTCATAAATATGAACCAATTGCCAAACATCTGAATTCTGCTCATGTAACCATGGGGATACTATAATGGTTGTAAGTGTGAAAACTGGTCACAACTCACTTGTTTTAATGCCATTGTAACTTTGAACAATCACTAAAGGAATGACTGTAAGTTGAAGTACAGATTTAATGTAAGTACCAGTACAAATTTAAAAAAGCTGGGGTGACTTCTTGATACATCTATGTTGACTTCTGGAAATTACTGCATTGTTTCTAAGGTGCTTACTGATCAGCCTTTTGCCTTTTTACTTTGATAATATCTGGGTGTGTTATATCCTTAGGATGTACAGGTGATACAGTTGTGCAGTTGCACCGCTTAGAGGCTCTAAGAACCAGATGGAGAAGAATAAATACAAAGTTATCTGGTTAGAGCAGTGGTTCCCAAACTTTTTCAGTCCACCGTCCCCTTGGTGCTACAAACTCATCCTCACTGCCCCCCACCCAGGGGTGGGATTCACATTTCTTAACCAGTTATGTGGGCGTGGCCTAATTTGCGGGTGTGGCGGGGCTGATGTCGCCATGAGACAGACAAAGGATCTTGGGGATCCAGGACCAATGCCGATATTCCCACAGCTGGACGGTCCAGCAAGACCTAAACCGTCCCGAAGAGACGGTGAACAAGAAGAGCACGTCCTGTAGATCCCAGGGACATCGCAAAGTCCCCGGTTGATCCAGGAGAAGCTTTTCAAACCAGCTGTGATGGAAGCAGCCATTAAAGGTGCTGAAAGTTGGGACGGCTCTGGAAGGAAGAAGAAAGAGTGTTGACTCTGGGTGAGATTTAATTAATTTACTTTTGGGACTGAGATCACCCCAAGGGGGAAAGAAAAGCATTGAAAACAAAAAGAGGGACAGTGGCAAAAATAAGCCTGATGTCAAATTTATTTGTTGTTTTTTTTTTAACAGTGAGATAGCATACAAAAGGATTTTATTTTTTCTTTCAACTGGACTGGACATTTTTATTCCATAAGTATTGAAGAACCAAATTTAACATTGATCTTAAACAGGGAATTTGATATTTTTTGTTTGTTAATTTCCTTTGTTTTTCTCTGAAAGGGAATTCTAAACTTTCACTTTCCTGCTTTGGCTATTTTGTAAAATAGTAGCAAAGGCTGAGCAAATAAAGCAACACTGCCACCTTGAGGCTTTTTATTTTTATTTTATTTTATGAAATAAAAGTTGTAAGAACTTTCCAGCTAGATCTATATTTAGAGAAGAGCACTGAAGGAATGTTTATACAGGTGCTCCTCTTGTAAAATAACTTTAATGGCTGGAGATTGGAGCTGAGAGGAAAGAGCTTATGGCGACCTTGAACTGATATTGCTGAAATTTGTTTATAGCGAGCCTTGGACAGTATACGGTGACAGAGGTTTGCTCTGTGACAGAAGTTTTAACAATAAAGCCTTTGATATTTTTTCTTTTTTGCTGACAGCTGCGAATGGCCTGACTTTTCTGGTTTGCTTGGTTTTATTTTTAACTAGGCCTCGACTCCATTATTGGACATTCTTTTTTTTTCTTCATCCTTATTTTTTTGAAGCACATTTTGGGGTTTTTTTGGTTTTTTTCCCCCCTATTTTTTTCTATTCCCATATTTTTAATTTTAAATATCATTGATGGATTAATTTTGGACTAATTTTGTGTTCCTTTCCTGGCTCTTTGGGCTCCTCTACGAATTAATTTTATTTTCATTTTTATCTTTCATCTTTTACTGTACCCTTTACATATACATATACAACTCCCTTTTTAATTGGTAAAGAAGAACCTGAAGATTGTATCTGTGGGGTGTTGATTAGAATTATACATTATATCTTCATTTGAAATGAAGAAGACTACAGGCTCATCAATACCCACATCATCATCCCTACTTACTGGACAGCGATCAAGATACACTATGCTGCAACAGGAAAAGGAAAAAGAGAAAGAGGTCACATTACAAATGGTAATGCAAGTAGTACAAAAAATAGCAGACAGAACAGAGAAAACAGATGAGAAAGTGAAGAACATACAACAAATGATGAGGAAAGATTTCAAGAAATAGAAGAGAAAGGTGACCAAAGAGACAAGAAAATTGATGCAATTGATAATAGGCTGACTGTTGTCGAACATGATAGAGGAAGTGGGATGCTGGGCTGGGAGTTAGACAGGGCAGATTTTTATTTTAGATTTCAAAACATAGTAGAAGAAAAGAGAGAAAACCTTGCTGAAATAATGATAGAAATGCTGGCAGACGCCTTGAAGATATCCAAAGAGAAAATGATGGATGGTATAGATGAGGTGTATCGAGTATTTACAAGATATGCAATGAGAAATAAATTGCCTAGAGAAGTTCATGTAAGATTTACCAAAAAGGCAATTAAAACACAAATTCTACAAAGCTCAAGAGATGAACCATTGAAATACAAAGACAAAGAGATTGTGGTCCTAAAATAAGTACCAAGGAAAATGAGGGAAATAAGAAGAGTATCAATTCTTGACAAAAAATTTAATTAAGAAGGGTGTGAATTATAGATGGCTGTTTCCTGAAGGTTCACCTGGCAGGAGCAAAGACATAGAATAAATTAAATAGAGAAAACATAATTATTTTATGGAGAATATTTTAGAGGGAAAGAGGATGAGAAATTGTGAGAAGAGGAAACAATCAAAATCCAAGAAGAAAGGATTGAAGCGAGAGATAAAATAATCCGAGAAGAAGCAAAATGCAAGGAAGGAGCAGTAGGTGGAAGAATGGAGTATAAAGAAGCGAGGTAGCAAAGGTCTACTAGAGCTATAAACCTTACATATAAGGTATGAACAATGGAAGAAAATAAATTGATCACAATGAATATAAATGGACTGAATTTGGCTATAAAAAGAAGGAAAATATTTCATAAATTAGAAAAATTAAAACTTGTTTGCAAGAAGTCCATATTAAAAAACAACATGCTCAGATATTAAGAAATACTAAAATTGGGAACTTATATACCTCATTGGCTCAAAAGAAAAAAAGGGGAGTTGCACTATACATTAAAAATACAATTAAAGCTGAATTAATTTTTACAGATGAAAAAGGAAGAATATTAATGGTGGAAATAATTGATAACAATGTAAAGATACTTTTAGTAGCAATATATGCCCCTAATGAAAAACAAGAAATTTTTTACAAAAACTTACACAATAAAATTATTGAATATGATAATATATGCCTTATGAGGGACTTTAATGGAATAGTAGATGTAAACTTGGACTATACAACTCAGAAAACTAATAGACAAAATAAAAAGAATTTGCCAAAATCCTTCTTCAAAATGGTAGAGGAACTAAGCATCCTAGATGTTTGGAGGGAAAGAAACAAAAGAAATAGACAATACACCTTTTATACTAATAGACATTTATCGTGGTCAAGAATAGATACGATTTGGATGTCAACAGATTTGATTTCCAATGTAAAAGAAGTAAATATTGAAGCAAGTACTTGGGCGGATCACAATCCAATACAAATTGAGTTGCAAGGACACAGGAAAAGTTCTAGAAGGACTTTGAACAATACAATATTGAAAGAAAAAAAATTTCTACAAAAAATGGAAAAGGAATTGGCTTTCTTCTTTAGGGAGAATAATAATGAGAACATTGCAAAACTTATGAGATACCATGAAGGCCTTTGCAAGAGGTCTGATAAAAAGTATTCATATTTCTTAACCAGTTCTGTGGGCGTGGCCTAATTTGCAGGTGTTGCTTGGTGGTCATGTGACTGACTGGCCATGGCTTGCTGGTCACATGACTGGCTGGGTGTGGCTTGCTGGCTGGACGTGGCTTGCTGGTCCCATGACCGGGTGGGTGTGGCCAGGTGACAGGCAAACCAAATACAAGTGGTCCTCACTTAATGGCCGGTTGCTTAGCAAGTGTTCTAATTTATGGCTGACATCCCCAGAGCTATTTGACCTGTTTTTGGAGTTTTGACAGCCATGCACGCGCGCGCACACACACACACACACACACACACACTTCCTTCTAACCCGGCTGGTTGGACTAGATATCTCATTCACTTTCTCCTTCCTCCCTTTCTTTTTTTTTTTCAGTCCAC